ACTGGCCCCTCCAAAACCTTCTTCACTTTCGTTCTGGCCTCCTGGAGCTTCTGGATGAGAGAGACCCTTCCCTGTGGCCCCAGAACTACCCTCTGGACACTGGCTTGGAGGAAACCCCTCATGGCTGACTCTGAAGCCCCTCAGTCCTGGGTCTAGGAGGTGAGAAGACCCCAGTGTGGGCGAGAGCTGAGGAGTGATCCTCCGCACGCTCCTAGTGGTGGAGGGCAATCCCTTGTTGGTGGACGGCCATGTGACTTTCCGGTGGTGCGCACCTGTCACACGGCACAGGTGTGGGCCGACGTGCAGGATAAATCCCTAGAAGTGACATTGCTGGATCAGGGTGGGTGTGCACTGGGATGCTGATTGGCACCACCGCGTCGCCGTCTGTACAGTTAACGCCCACCTACGTTTCCAGATGCATCCTTGGCGATTTTGTGCCATGTCTCCTCTGGCACAGGGGGTGTGTAGGGTGGGATCCACTTTCCCCTCCCTCTCCCCTTTCCGAGGGTGAGGGCAGATGAGCTGCCTCTCTGGGCGAGCCCTTCCCCTCTGCAGACTCTCCCAGTCGGTGGGGCATCTCCCGTCCTCCCAAAGCGAATTTCCCAGGTGCTGTGTTGGGAGCCAGGGACGGTGGTGGAGCAGACAGAGCCCCGCGCTCAACGAGCTCTCCTTCCAGTGGGGGCAGCCAGGCACCGGGCACACAGGCAGATAGGACGTCAGGTGACATGGAGGGGAGGGAGTCAGGCAGCGAGCTGGGGGATCCCTTACACAGCAGGCAGGTCAGGGAGGCCTCGCTGAGGGGGGTGGGGGTTGGGGCAGGGATCTGAACTGGGTGAGGATGTGAGTCTGCAAAGCCGTGCCCAACAATTCCCGGGACTCAGTGCAGAGACCCAGGGCCAGCAGTGTAGGAATGGACAGCAGGCTGCACACCCCAGCTCTGTGAGCCGGTCAAGGCCACTCTGTCATTCATCCCCACGTGATTTCTGGGAGTTGGCTGCAAGCTCTGTTCTGATCCAGGCACCGAGGGGAGCAAGATCTGGTCCCAGAGTGCCTCTGGCCAACTGGGGCCCCTGGCCGGCCCACGGGACTCCCGCTGCCCTGCTGGCCCATGCACTCGCTGCCATTTGGCAAACTGAGTGCCGTGGCTCCTGCCGAGCAGGCCCCTGGATGGAGTGGGTGGAGGACAGGAGACAGGAAGGGGGTTCCGAGCAGAGGCCCCGGGTTGCGCATGACACGGCCCCTTGTTGAGGAAGTCATGCCCAGGTCAGAAGTTGGCTCCAGTGCTCGGTCAGCGGCTGAGGATGCTCACCCTCAAGGGGCCTTCCTCTTGCCCTCTCTTCTCGCCCTCCCTTCCCCCGAGAAAAGCCCAGAGCCTAAATCCTGTCCAGCGCGAGCGGGTGGGAAGGCCCAGTGGTACTGTGGGAGGGAGGGGCAGGGAGGGCAGCAGGCTGGGGTGGGGGGAGGTTCCGGGGAGCAGCAGAGGAGTGGCCTGGCCCTGGGTGCAGGCCCAGCCGTAGGAAAGTCGGTCGGAGCCCAGGCAGCGGCTCTGGAGCTTGGGCCTCTGTCCTGGGTAAGAGGAAGTCTTAGGAACCCAGGGCCTTGTGGCCAGGGTGGGGCCCCAGACGCACGTGTATGTGCACATACCTGCCCATCTCACTGCCGCTGTAGGCCAAGCCCACACCTTGTCTGGTCCCGTCTCCCGAGCCGGCTTCCCTCCCACTGCCGCCAGGAGGATCCACTCAAGACAGTAGCCAGGCTCCGTCTACCTTGGCTTCCAGGCCCGATGGACCCTGGCCCTGCTGCCCCCCTGGCCAACCTCCCGGCCGCCCCTCACCCCACACACTGGCCTCCTGCACGGGCCATCCTGGGCCTTCTTGCCTGGGCCACTCCAGCCAGATCTTCGCCAGCCTCCTCGCCTACTATCCTAGCCGTCCTACCAGTGCCCCTTATCCGATGTCACTTTTTAACATTTTTATTGATAATATGAACAGTATTGACGATATTGCTAATAGTATCAATATTAGTATTGATGACTTTGATTGCCAAATTATACCTGTGTGCATTCACGGGGTGTGATGTGACATGTGGATTGACGTGTACGATGTGGATGACATTTTGCTTACCGTGCTGGCTTCGTCACAGCACCTGTCACCCAGTGATCCGGGTACTTCTCGGCTTCTCGTCTGCATGTGCAGCCCCTGGAGCCGGTCAGGGTCTGTCTTGTTCCCTGCAGAGCTCTGAAAAAGCACTCAGCAAGTCCTTGTGAAACCCAGGAGCCCCCGCACTTCCGGTTTCTTTCTTCCGAGATGGTCAGAGCCCTGATACCCGGCCTGGGGCTGGGCAGGCCTTACTGAGAATGCGTGGACGGGGCCGGAGCCGGGTTGGTGCGCTCTAAGACCAGGGAGGCTGCACTTTCGCTCTACGTGGTACCTAAGAGTTTTCCTCTGACTCCACAGTCATGCTTCAAGAGCGCTTGTAGGCGAGACATCCCAAGGCGTCTCACAACAACAGCGAGTCACCTGTGCGCTGTTGCAGGCTCCCTGGGTTGTGGACTAGGAGTCAACTGCGACCTGGCCTGGGGCCACGTGACTCAGTGGTGCTGTCACCCACACACTGGGGCTTTGGCCGCAGTCAGATTTACCTCGTGACAGAGCTGCCTCTGTCCAGCGTTTCCTGGACAGGACGGCGGCGTGGGGTGTGGCCTGGTGGGACGACACTCTAGCCAGCTGTACACGAGAGGGATTGGAGGGAAAGGAAGTGGGGTTGGGAGAGATGCGTCGGGAAGCTGGCCGATCCAGCTCTCTTCGAAGTAGCAGGGCTTCACCTGGGGGCAGGGCAGAGGCCTGCGGAGGGGACACTGTGAGGGTCTCGCAGGCAAGCCGGCAGGACTGGTGTCTGCTGGGTTGTAGGCGAAGAGGCAAGGGATCGTGTCGGAGGGAGGGGCAGAGGGAAGAGGCAGAGACGGGTAAGCCACCGTCATCCACAAAGAGAAGGAAGATGGGGCAGGCCCACCGGATGCGGGGGTCATCTGACAGCCACCGTGGTCACCATGCAGGGGGGACATGGGACTGAGGAGAGCAGAGCCCGAGGGGGATTCTTGGGGAGCCAGACATTGGGGGACCACCTGTAGGAGGAACCGGGTGGAGAACCATGAGCCAACAAGGGGGCGGCGGAAGGGGTGGTCACTGGAGTGTGGGCACAGGAGGCCAGGGCTTCCCAGAGACCACCCCCGAGGGAGTGTGGGGCAGTGGATGGCGAAGGAGCTCAGCAGTGGAGAGAGCAGGTCAAAACCTGGGGCTGGGGGCTGGCGCCGTGGCTCACTTGGCTAATCCTCCGCCTGCGGTGCCGGCATCCCATATGGACGCGGGTTCTAGACCCGGTTGCTCCTCTTCCAGTCCAGCTCTCTGCTGTGGCCCGGGAAGGCAGTGGAGGATGGCCCAAGTGCTTGGGCCCTGCACCCGCATGGGAAACCAGGAGGAAACACCTGACTCCTGGCTTTGGATCGGCACAGCGCCGGCTGTGGTGGCCATTGGGGGGTGAACCAACGGAAGGAAGACCTTTCTCCCTGTCTCTCTCACTGTCTATAACTCTGTCAAATAATAATAATAATAATAATAATAATAATAATAATAAAAACCTGGGGCACAGCGCAGAGTGACTCGGCCCCTGCCCAGGAGAACTGAAGACAAGCACCCGCGTGATAACCTGTATGGGAGAGTCCAGAGCAGTGTTGTTTGCAAGAGTCAAAATATAGAGACAGCCTGGATGTCCACCCGCAGGTGACCAGACAGGCACAGGGCAGTAGATCCACACAGTGGAATACTGTTTGGCCATGGAAAGGATGAAGGTCTAGCACGCACATGCCAGGTGAACCCTGAGGGCCTCGTGGTGCATGAACCCCGATCCCAGCAGGCTGCGTGTCGTAGGGGGTCCCGTCGGTGCACTGGCAGCAAAGGCTGACCCGATCCAGAGCCACACCAGATGGACTTGAGGTTGGGGGAGGGGGTGGGCAGTGACCGCTGGAGCCGTGTACGAGTGATGAAAAGCGTTCTAGAATTCATTAGTCGTGGTGGTTGCAACTCTGAATTTCCCAAAAATCACTGAATTCTGTAGTTCCAAAGGGCGACTTGTATGTTATGTGGATTATTTCTCAAAGAGAGAGTGTGCGAGAACAAGCCCAGGCTAGGGAGGCAGAGGGAGGCCTGGCGTGGCTCTGGGCAGGAAGCCGTTCCAGGCCCTGGGTGGATTACAGGACCTGCCCAGGAGGGCTTCAATGCCTGGACGTCCTATAGGGCAGAGCCCCGGGTGCCTGACTCAGTGGTTCGGCCTCCTCCACCGGGGGAGTTCGCCATCAGACACCTGGAGCTGAATCTCCTTCTAACCGGTGGTCCTCTGGTCCTCGGCGTTTCCACCGAAAGAAGAGACTTCAAATGCCCCTACATTTGATCACTAAATCCCAATCTGGAAAAGCCCTCGCCACTGCCAGTTCCCCCTCCCTGCTGCCGACCCCTCTGGCATCTGACAGGCTTGGGTGCTGTGTTTGTGACATAGCCGGTTAAGCCGCTGCTATGACACCAGCACCCCGTATCCGTGCACCTGTTTGATCCCAGACTGCTCTGCTTCTGATCCAGCTCCCTGCTGATGCCCTGGGGAGGCAGTGGAAGATGCCCCACGTGCTTGGGCCCCTGCACCCATGTGAGAGACCCAAATAGAGTCCCAGGCTTTGGCTTGGCCCAGCCCTGGCTGTTGCTGCCATCTGGGGAATGAACCAGTGGATGGAAGATCTTCTCCCTGACTCCCCCTCCCCAAGTAACTGCCTTTCAATTAAATAAGCAAATATTTAAAAACAAAGCAAGAAAAAAAAAGCTGAGAACCACGGCTCCCCAGGCAGTGTTCCTCCTCTCTGCCCGGTGGGCACTCGCTCCCCTCCCCCCACGCTCGCTGGGAGCTGGGCAGGGCAGCCGCCCCTAAGCCGCGTCCTCCCCCCCTCTCTCCTGCAGCTCTTGCAGTCTCAGGACGTGAAGGAAGACGCTGTCCTTTGCTGCTCAATGGAGGTAAGCACTGAGGCTCAGCCCCCCGACCCCACCCCCTGGTGCGTCCCTCATGCCCTCCCAGTGGTGGCACAAGGGACAGCCGGCAGCCCCCGGGGTGGGGGGGATGGCTTCAAGGGTGGGCATGGACTCCTGCATCCAGAGCTTTCCACCCTAAACCAGAGTAGACACCGATGGTGACAACCACTGCCACTGACTTCCCATTCCCCTCTGCCCCCAGGTCCACCTGCTTCTGGGCCAGGCCTTCCACCCCACACAACACCCAGCCCCCCAAACAGCTCCCTTGGCTTTGGTGGTGTTGGGTTTAGGGAGGGTACTCAGACTGAGTCCCCCACCCCACCCCATGTGGGCGATGCCCACTCCAAAGCAGCACCCTTGGCAGGTGCCACTCCTGTTCCCAATGCCCAGTGAAGCGCTTCCTCCAGGACCTTCCTGAGAGATGTGGCTGTGGCCCACCGTGGGGCGGTGGGGTGGGTCCCCTTCTGCATGCAGCCCTGAGTCCTGCAGAATGGAGGGGAGGGGGGCTCCCTGCGCCGGGACCCAGGCCCATGGCACATTCCTGAGCACACGGGCCACACCCTGGGGAGCTTAGGGCCAGAAGTGCCAGAGGCCCGGACAGCAGCTTTGGGTCTATGGGACACTCGGTTCAGTTCCAACTGGGCACCTTGCATGGGACTTGGGACTGGGAGAGACAGGGGAGGAGAAGGCAGGTGCCCACCCCAGACAGCTTTGGCAGTGTGGGGATGGAGCACGCATCCCTGAGCAGCCAGGAGAGGGAGGCCAGGGTGTGTCGGGGAGGCCACAGATGGCTTTGTGCAGAAGGTAGAACTTTGGAGCAGAGTGGGACGGGGCTGGCGTTGTGGCACAGTGGTTTGAGCCCCTGCCTTTGGCTCTGGCATTGCATATGGGCACCAGTTCTTCTGGGCCGCTCCACTTCTGGTCCAGCCCCTGGCTAATGCGCCTGGGAAGGCAGTGGAAGATGGCCCAAGTACCTGGGCCCCTGCCACTCACGTGGGAGACTCAGATGGAGTTCTAGGCCCCTGGCTTTGCCCTGACCCAGTCCTGACTGTTGCAGCCATCTGGGGAATGAACCAGCAGAGAGAAAATCAATCTCTCTCTGTCTCTGTCTGTCTCTCTCTCTTTCTGTCTCTCTGTCTCTGTCTCTGTCTCTCTCTCTCTCTTCCCGCCCTGCCCTTGCCTCCATCGTTTCGCTTTTCAAGTAAATAAAAATCTTCAAATAAATAAATAAATGAGTAGGGTAGGCTGGGTGGGGGTGGGACAGACAGGGCTGGAGAGGAAGGTCAAGCTCCTTTGGCTAGGTGGGGGTGCTGATGGCCGGGGCTTACAACCCCAAAAGTTGGGGCTCCTTCTTCCCAGGGGCTCCTCAGGCTTGCCAGGGCTGTCTTGAGGGCAGGCCCCTAGCTGGCCTCCTGCCCCGGCTCCTTTTCTTCTCCTACTCTTTGTCCATGGTGTGGGCAGAGGCCAGGATTGGGGCCAGGGCAGGGTGTGGAATTGGGGCAGGAGAGAAGGAAGAGGGAGAACTAGGGGAGCCCTCCCTGCTGTGCGGCTCCACAGGGACACAGGCCGGTGGTAATGACAGCTCGCTTTCAGGGACACCTAGCAAGCGATCCATGCCACCTGATCACCCAAGGGGGCAGATCTCGGGGCACTGGGGACATGGGCATAGTCAGAGAGGGCTTCCTGTAGGAGGGGAGGCCGCTGAACAGAAGGGACAAGAGGCCCTGGTGAGGGCGCCTTCAGCCCCGGGCAGCAGGCAGAATCCCAGCGCTCTGCTTCCTGTAGCGGCAGAAGGGTCCTTACGTGTGGGGTCTCAGAGGCGCCCCTCGGTGCTCCCCCAGCAGGGGGTGCCGAAACAGTCCAGCTAGCTCCTGTCCCAGGCCTCAGCCCACCTAACAGGGGTTACTGGGGTGGTGTCTCGGACCTGGGTCCAGCCCTCACCCCCTTGCTTCTTTGCCTGCAGCTGCAGAGCACAGGCCGGCTGCTGGAGGAGCAGCTGCCCGAGATGATGGCCGAGCTCCTGGCCAGTGCCCGGGACAAGATGCTGTGCCCCTCGGAGTCCATGCTGACCCGGTCTCTGCTCCTGGAGGTCATCGAGCTGCATGCCAACAGCTGGAACCCTCTGACGCCCCCCATCACGCAGTACTACAACAGAACCATCCAGAAACTGACAGCCTGACCGCCGCGGGGCCAGATGGACAGGCGGGAGGACAGGGGTGGCCCCCGCAGGAGAAGGAAGCAAGGACGAGGGCAGGCAGAGCCAGGAGCCGGTCTGGAGCCAGCCAGGGAAGGGATCAAGTCCCTGAGATGCGCGGCCCCCGCCCCCACTCAGGCCGACCCCTGCCCGCGCACGCAGAGCCCGCCCCCGTAGGGGAAGCATGTTTCTTTTCACGGTGGTCCTGGCCCCCCCCACCGCACTCCCACAGAACTTCGTGCCCTGGGGGCTCACGTGTGTCTGTCGGAGACCCGGCAGCCTCTCACACTGGGTCAGACAGGACCTCAGAGAGCTGAGAAAGTAGGTGGAGGCGGGCAGGCCGGCATTGTCCCCGCGTGCCGTCAGCCGCGGTCGCCAACTGGCAGCAGGCGACGTGTAGCAGATGTCCGCGCGGACAAAGGCAGGCACGGTCCCCACCAGCCGCCCGTAATTGGCGGCCTTTGTCAGCCCCGGTGGAGCCGCGTCTTTCTGTAACCTTCGCACTCCCCCCTCCCTCCGGCCCCCGCCCCCCCACCCCACCCAAGCCTCCGGCCTGCCAGAGGGGTCGGCAGCGGGGAGGGGGAACTGGGGGTGGCGAGGGCTTTTGTTTTATTGTGATTTCGTTTTCAAAAGTCGGCTGCTTTGAAGTCTCTTCTCGATGTGAGGACCCCCGGTTAGTGGGAGATCCAGCCGGCCCCCTCTGCGCAGGTTCCCTTGCCACAGACCGCTTGCCAGTGGCCAATTAGGATGACTGGAAGCTTCTGCCCCTGCGGGGGTCCCGCGTTCCTCGGCCCCAGGCCAGCAGCGCCTCTGCTCTCTTACTCTCGAAGGGCTGACACTGTCGCCACTGGGACTGCGTTCATCCCAGATGCCAGGTGGCGTGTCCCACGGGGCTTGTCCCCAGCTGAGCCTCGTCGCTGCCCTGGCCTCATCCCGGACAGGGGACACCGCTCGTTCTCTGAGTCAGGTGACCAGGCGAGGCCACCAGATGGAGCTTTCTGGGCTGGAAACAGGCTGGGGATCCTGGAAACCCCCCGCCCCGTGCTAGGGAGCTGCCCCATTGAGATGGCCAGAGAGGAAGACGTGGCCAACCCCAGGGAAGTGCCAGGTGTATGCACAGGCCCATCTCCCAGGTCTGGAGCCCACCCTTTGAGGAGCCCCCAGGAAATGACAGTCGGGGTCTCACCGAAGACCCTCCTCGGCCTGCTGGCCGAATCCCCCTGGCTGGAGTGAAGGTGGGAAAGGGTCGCCTCTTTGTTTCTGAGTCCAGGGCTGTCAGGCGGGTGGGAAGAGGACTCCCCGGTCCTCTCGGGCTTTCCATACCAGCTGCACCTGCCTTCCAGCCCCAGGATGAAAGCCCCTACCAAGCCCCCAGAAAGAGCCTGTTGGGACAAGGTATGGGGCTCACAGGTTTCTCCAAAACGAGTAGGTGGTCCCCACCAGGAAGCCCACGCCCCTGCTGGCCCTGGCCTCCTGCCTCCCCAGCCCTTGTCCTCTCAAGCTTCCCCTCACAGCCTTGCTCCCCGGCCCTGTACCTTGGGCCCAGCCTGGGCCTCGGGGAGACCCAGCAGCCCCGCAGGAGGCATCTAGGGCTGGGCTGGGGCTGATGCTGGAGCCCTCAGAGGGCACCCAGGAGATCACACTCCGTGGAGCCAGGCCAGCCACACCCGTGTGTGTGTGTGTGCGTGCGTGTGTGCACGTGTGTGCGAGTGTGTGTGCGCTTGCATCTGCTGAGAATGCAGCAAACAGACCTGGGAGGGGGCGCTCAGGTCACAGAAGCAGCAGGGGGTGAGGTCCCCTAGGCTTGGCCTTGGCCTTGGCGAGCAAGCTTCCTGAAGGGGCTCCCAGCACTGTGCACGGAGCGGGCCCTTCCTGCCCCCAGCCCGCCTTGGCTCCGAGGGCCAGAGTGTGAAGAAGTGAGATATAAATATGTATACATATATAAATATATTTTTAATTACGTGTCGTGTCACCGTGGCTCCAGACGTACGGTTTGCCTCGTTGATTCCATTGCTGGACAGTGCTTCCTGGCCAAGCTGAGTAACACTCGGCTGTTTTTCTAAATGCAGCTTGCTGCTACTTTTTCAGACGTGGAAGGAAAACGTTAAAAACTTTTTTTTTTTTAGAAACAGCAGTAAAGCCTAAAATTTGAGACTCAGAGGCGACTTCCCATGGGAGGCAACTCAGACCGGACCTGGGGGGCAGGAGGGGGTGCCCCAGAGCCCCCTGCTGCCTCCCCAGGCTGATGGCCTCCCTCTGCTGACTCCTGAATGTATCATGGGAAGCAAAACTGGACGTTGCATTTCTGGGCCCAGCCCGCGGCTCCTGGCACACCCAGGAGGCCCCGGCCGGGGCTCCTGCTGCCGCCTCCGCCTCTTCCCCCTGCTGTCAGGATGAGTTAGTCCTAGTTTTCCTCCAAGGCGGCCTGCTTGCCACAGCCCTGCTCCCCTATGGCCTAGTGGCCACAGCCCTGCGAGGCTCCCCACCTCCTCCCGGGGCCAGGCCAGGAGCCCCCAGCATCCCGCACCCCAACCCCAGTCTTGTCTGCTCTCTTGCCCTAACCAGTCTGTAACCTGTCCGGCCTGGGGCGCGCCTGTCCCTCCGTGTAAGTGTAAAAGTGGGCCACGTCGGTATTTATTCGGATTTTTATTTTATTTTATTTTCTCCGAGGGGTGGGGGCGGGGTTGTGAGAACTGTAGCAGGGATCACGCCCTGGGCAGCTGCAGGGGTGGGGGCCCCACAGCAGGGCAGCCCCCTGGGGCCTCCACGGAGGCGTGTCCCCGCTGTCACCTGCTCCCACGGACTCTCTGGGCCTGCTCCTCGCCCGTCGGCGTGCTGTTGAGAAACCTCTGGCTGGGCCTTTGAGGACGCGGACCGGAATGAAGACGACAGCCCTCTGCCTGGGACACTCGTGTGGGAGGGCTGGCTGCCGCGCCCAAGCCAGCGGGGAGCCGGAGCAGGGGCCGGGGGCCTTTGCCTGAAGCTGCAGCGGGACCCCGTGCAACCTCCTCCCCTCCGTCGGTGTGTCCTGCTTCCCAGCTGAACCCAAACTACAAGTGGGTTTTAAAAAATAAACAATACCAAAAAACACAAAACGCCCTCCATCTGCGTTCTTTGTGTGCTCAGCCGGGTCTTTCCCGAAGGCTTCAGGGCCTCCAAGGCGCTATGGGCAGACTCCACGCCGAGTGACCGAGTGACCACCATGGAGAGTGGGGCAGGCCCCGGAACCTGGGCGAGAGGCGGGTGCAGGAGGCTGTGCCCCAGAAGCTGGGCACTGCGCCCGTCCCGCGATCCTGGGGGACATGGCCTCCCGGTAACAGCGCCCCCTTGGGGAGTCTTCCGGCCCCTCCAGGCGGTAAGGGCAGCCGCCCTGTGCCTACGTGGCAGCCCGGTGAGGTGTCAACACTAAGGCATCTCCACTTCTTGCCTTTCCCCTGCTCCATCCTCCCTTCCTCCCTTTTCCTGCCACTTGGTGGTCAAGAGTGGACTGTGTGCTCCAAAGTAGCCTCCCTTCCGCCCCTCCTCCTGTGCAGCCACAGGTAGAGGCAGCTCACTCCCCAGAGGCCAAGGGACACGGAGCAGCACGGTGGTGGCAAGTGCATGGTCCAGGATCACGCTTCCTTCGTCGTGCATTCTCCTCAGGTCCTGGGGGCCCCTGGAAGTGTTCCGTGCCTGACTCAGCTCCAGCTGCCACCCCGGTGTGCCGTCAGGTGGGCGGCTCACACCCTGCAGGAATCAAGGCCCGGGTGCTGGCAGTCCCAGCTCAGGACACCGGCACGGACGGGTCCCGGCGGCAGGCTGCCGGGCTGCGTTGTGTCGCCGTGTGGCAGGAGGGCAAGGCCGCTCTCGGGTCTCTCAGAAAGCCAGTGACCACACCCGTGACCTGATGGCCTCCCCCAGGCGCCAACCCCTGCTGTACTGAGGGTGAGGCTCTTGGCCCGAATTTCGGGGCACACAACACTCGGGCCACTGCGGCCCAGGCCCGGAGAGCGTCTAACCTGAGCCAGGAGCCCCTCCTTTCCCTGCTGCCCGCCTGGTATCAGGGTGACTCAGGGCCGGGCAGGGCTGCGGGTGGTCCAGGGGCAGCTCGCACTACAGGCCCGTGGAGGTAGCTGGCCTGCGCGGGGTGGGGGCCCAGCAGCTGCACAGCCCTCCCCGCACGCATTGGCCCAGAGGGTGGGGTCTGCACACAGCCCTCTCCTCAGAGCCACCCCCCGCCACATGACCCACTCCTCACCAGAGCCCAGGGAAGGGCGGAAATGCAAACCTCCCCACTAGGGAAACTGAGGCATAAGGAATACCGTAGGCCTGGCTGGGCTTCATGGTTTGCCCTTAAATGATATTGTTGGGGCTCCACAGCAGCCCTGACTGGTCACCCCCATTTTATTTTATTTATTTTTAAAGATCCATTTGAAAGGCAGAGTTAGAGAGAGAGAGAGGCCCCAGATGGCCACAACGGCCAGAGCTGAGCCAATCTGAAGCCAAGAGCCGGGAGCTTCTCCCAGGTCTCCCACATGGGTGCAGGGGCCCAAGCACTTGGGCCATCTTCCATTGCTTTCCCAGGCCATAGCAGAGAGCTGGATCGGAACTGGAGCTTCCAGGACTTGAACTGGTGCCCTTATGGGACGCCCACACTAAAGGCCAGGGCATTAACCTGCTGCACCTCAGCACTGGCCCCACCTCCCCCCACTTTAAAGACAAGGAAAAGGCTCAGAGAGGCAGAGGGACAGACCTGGGTCACGTGACCTGTGGACAGGCACACATGCCAGGCCTGGAACTGCCACTTTCTTGCGCCTGAGATGGGCCAGGCGGGCATGGGTGGGAAGCAGGCTCCTGACCTCCAGTGCCCAAAGCTGCCGTGCACCTGAGTCCCCTCGCCCGGGCCTTGGTACCGGCCCGCGCCACCTCTGCCTAGCCATGTGGGGAACCCGGTGTCCCCAGCTCTTAGCAGCCTCCCCGTCACTGGGCGCTGAGCTGTCCCGGCATCCCAGGCGGAGTCCGCGTACTCGCAGCCCTGTCTTCCGGGAGGCGATGAGAAGGTTGTGATGGGCCCTGGGTGACAGAGGAGTCTCCAAAGACGGCCAGGATCCCACAGCTGACCTGAGGCAGACAAGATGCCGAGGTGACCCCTCCTTCCACGTGCCCTCTCCTGTCCCGTCGTGTGTTTCTGTGAACCCTCTGGGGCCCCGTGCACAGGGACTATAAGGAATTAAGCCCAGGGAAGAATGCCCTCACACCGTCACCACCTTGAGGTGGGCTCCTGGAAGCTGCACTTCCTGGACGACTGCCAGCTATCCCCAGGCCGGACCCAGCTCCTGGGAGTGTCCTGGTGCGGGCCCCACCCCCCAACCCCGTGGCATTGCCTTGCTTCGGATGGGCCGACAGCTGGCCCTCAACGGTGATGTGCAGGCCTTGCCCGCTGCATTTCCAGCCCCAGGGAAGAAGGACCCCTAACTCCCTCCCTCCCCAGGACAGCCCAGGTGAAACCCCAAGGCCTTGCGTGGAAGATGTCCAGTGTGGCCGAAACAAGCCGGAAAGCCGGACGCAAATGCATTGGATTGCATTTCCCTGAGTAACAAGATTGTTGTTGTTGTTTGAGATCTGTTTATTTATTCTAAAGTCAGAGTTACAGACAGACAGAGATAGACAAAGACAGAAAGTTCTTCCATCCACTGGTTCACTCCCCCCGATGGCCGCAACGGCTGGAGCTGAGCTGATCTGAAGCCAGGAGCCAGGAGCCTCTTCCAGGTCTCCCACGTGGATGCAGGGGCCCAAGGACTTTGGGCCACCTTCCCCTGCTTTCCCAGGTGCATTAGCAGGGAGCTGGATCGGAAGTGGAGCAGCCAGGACTCAAACCGGCGCCCACATGGGGTGCCGGCACTGCAGGCGGCGGCTTTACTCGCTGTGCCACAGCGCTGGCCCCATGAGCTTTCTTAACACAGCCCGCAGTCCAGTCTGGAAGGCCCTTGTATATGCACACAGAGCCTCACGATCCCGCACGCTCCCAAGCCTGGCTTCAACAGCAGTGCGTCTGTCCCAAACAATCGCACCCACAGAGCTTCAGCTGCGCATCAGCCCCCACAGCCACCGAGGTGACGTGGGCCATTTGGAGGAAATATCAACACGTCTGGGTCGGATGTCAGCCTGTGGCGGGGACCCCGGGAAGCTGCTCCGTCTTGGGCTGAGCTGCAAGGGCGCCTCCCGTGGCATCCACGGCCGCTTCCTTCCCAGAAGCCACTCTGCTCCACGGCGCTCTGTGTGTGCCCCGGAGCTCTGGAACCAGACCCAAGGCAGCCAGCCCTGCCCCCGGCACCTCCCAACCCAGGCAGGAGCAGGGGCTCGGGACAGGGCCCTTGGACCACCCCCTCCCCCGGGGACACACAGGGACACAGAGGCACCGCAAAGTTAGCCACACGGCTGAGCCGCGGAAGCAGAGCCGTTCCTATTCGGCCAGGGCCAGGGCTCAGCCACAGCTCCACAGGGGAAAGGCGGTGCAGGGCAGGGGAGAGGTGAGGAGGGGACGAGAACTGGGGGAGCCGGGGGAGGAAAGGGCGCCAGGCTCTGGGGTACCACGGCCGAGTAACTGTACCTAGAAAGCCTGCGGCACAGATGTGCACGGGGCTTGCTCAGGCTGGTGACCGGATGATGGGGACCGGCTCTGGTGAGAAGGGGCACAGCTCAGCACGCAGTGGTCACAGCAGTTAGTGCTACCGGCCTGTGCCTTTGCTTAGTGCCACCTCTTCCAAGAAGCACTCCCTGACTGCTCCCCCAGTCAGGGTTACAGGTCCCCCACTCTGGGCACCCGCACCTGCCAGGGACTCTCCTGCTGTAAACCTGCTCATTGTGTGAGACAGGTGGGTAGACAGATGCCCAGTGACCACGAACTTGACCTCGTCTCATCCCCTCCGCCTCCCTGGCACCCAGCCCTGCACCTGACCCAAGCAGGTGTGAATAAGTAAGCAGGGGATGAAGGGTGGGGTGCAGGTGATGAGTGACACAGGGGCTTGGGGCAGGAAGAGCCCGGCTGTGCCCTGAGCCAGTCTTGGAGGTGCGGCCCCCAGAGGACAGCGCCTCCCAGCAGGGGTCCTGGGTGTCCTCAGGGGACCGCAGGGGGCTGGGCAAGCTCTGCCATCAGGAGGCGCCCGAACCAGAGCCAGTGTAGATGGTGCCTTCGTACAGTGAGGAGGAGGCGCTGCCTCCCTTGGGCCCCAGGGCCACCCAGCTGGGCACCCTTGTGTGGGGCACAGCTGCCCACCTGCATGGGATTCTCTGGGGCGTGCATGGGTCTGTTTGTGCTGTGCATATGCGTGAGGGGGAGGTGTAGGGGGTGTGTGTGTGCGCGTGTGCTTGTGCTGGGTGCAGTTGGGGGTGAGTGTGGGTTTGTGTGTCTGATGAGTGTGTGCAGTATACATGTGGTGTGTACACACCTGTGGGCGTGCATGTGTGTGCACTGTATGATGTGTTTGCACCGTGTGTGTTTGTGGGTGGGTGAGGGGTTGTGTTTTTGGTGTGTGTATGGTGTATGTGTATGTGTGTGTAGTACGTGTGCACCATGGGTGTCTCTGTGTGCACTGTGTGTATAGAAGGTGTGCACCGTGTGCGGTTGTGTGTGTTGTGTGCACTGTGTGTGTGCAGTACGAGTGCACCACGGGTGTGCACACACGTGGGTGTGAACTTGGGCTGCACTTGGTCATCCCCCAGCCGCTTGGCCTCTGAGCAGTGAGGGGCGGGAGGCAGAAGTGTGAGGGCCTCGTTCTCGGAGCCAGGACCAGCAGGGGTCTGAGAGGAGGTAGCAGTGGCTGGCGCGCCCCTGTGGCCTGGAGGTGGTGGCTCTTGCGGGTGCCCCCACGGCTGAGAGGGGCTGTCGGCCCAGTGGGCGCCTGCGTGGCCTTCTGCTCCCCAGGGGCCTCCTCCCTGAGTTGGAGAGGAAACTGTGCCCCAGGGAGACCCAGGAGGACAGGCCGGGAGTCCACACAGGCAGAAGAACGTTCTGGAAACCGGCGCTGCCCACTGCAGGCGGCCCTCCCGACTGGAGCACTGCACACAAGCCGGGCGGCCCCCAGCCGGAACACTGCCTGCCTGGGACCTGGCTGGC